CTCTCTCTCTCTCTCTCTCTCTCTCTCTCTCCCTCTCTCTCTCTCCCTCTCTCTCCCTCTCCCTCTCTCTCCAGAAAAAATGTTTCACAAATCAACAAACACCTTTGCTACATATGAAGAACTCATAATCTATTCTATTTTTCTAAAGTTATTTTTACAGAGGACTAGATTTCTCTATATTGATTTCACCACTCATTAATGAGTCATGACCCACTGTTTGAAAAACAATGGTCTAAAAAATTTTCTGTACAACAAAATCTACTGCTCTATAAATGAACCCTCTACTCCAGTTCAACTGGTCTTACTACCCAAAGACATTGCCTGTGGCATGGAATAACTCGTTTCCCCTCCATTCCTCAGCTCCTTGCCTTCCTTCCAGGCAAGTATGATTGGTGAGCTGTGTATGCCCTGACCTCCTTGGCCATCAAGGAAAGTCCATCAAGAAAGGTGCCTCCTCTATGTCCTGAAGCACCAACTGGCTCTTTCTCATTGAGCACCCAACTATTTGGCACTTAAGCATCTCTCTTTTAATATAGGTCACACATGTCCTTAGATTGTTACCACAAAGCCACAGACTGACATTTATCATCTTTTGGTGTCTCCAAAGCCAAACGTAGCACCCTACACATAGATTCTTAATACACAGCAGAAATTTTAGTTCTTTTCTTCAATTATATCCTCTATTCTTCACATAATTTAAAAAGGGACCACAAATATTATTTGATATTGATAAATATATATATATTATATATTTATATAATTGGATTTATGCTGCTTCAGAAATTCTGTTTTGTTACAACCTTGTTTTTTAGCATTAACATTGTAATTATCTTTTCAGGCAGACTGGAAGGCCCTTAACATATCATCAGTAACACCTCCGCAGCATTTATTAAATAAATATATGCCCCTTTCAGATTTGGCCAGTGTGCATTAATAGTGAAATCACTGCAAGTTTTAGCAGGGAACTAATATAATCCAATTTATATTTAAGACTACTCTGGCTGCCAAGCAGAGAATGGGCTGCAAGAGTAGAAGCAGGAAATTGTTAGTAGCTCATGCAGGAGGCCCAGACAGAGAGGACCAGGCATGGATTTATGGTGGTGACCCATATGTTAGAGAGAAATGATGGATTGATGGATAACCAATACATTTTGAATACATAAAACTTGAAATTCACAGTACACTGGATTAATTTTATTACTGAGGAAGTATAAAAGTAAAGCTTATGGTCACTACTTATTGAGTGCCTTCAAGATGCCTGATCTGTGATCCACAAGGCATTATTATTGCCAATTTATTGATAAGGAACCACTGAGATGTTAAGTAACTCCCCTCAGGTCACACAGCTAGCAATAGGCAGAGATGAGGCTGGTCTGGGATCCATGGATGGTCTCCCTCCAAAGCCCTTTTTACTTAATTATGAGCCTTTATGGGAAATGGTAAGGTGGAGGATTAAAGAGCTAGATTTGGGTGGGTGATGGGGGGTGAGGGGTGTAAATGAACTGGCAAAGGGAACAAAAAAAGGAGAGGAGAGATTTGGAAATTCCTCTGCCGCATTTGTCATTTGCTTTAGTTCCCTTGCACCTTCTTTGTAAAAACTGTGTGTGGAAATGTTTGTGGTCATCACAGCACACATAGGCATAGCTTAGGGTAGATACTTCCATTCCTCAAATACCAAGCGGCTGCCCACCTAGGGGCCTCTGCACTTGTGTTTCCCTCAGAGAGGAATGCCCTCACCCCCTCACATCACCTGGCTGGCCCCATCTTCTCCTACAAACCTCGGCAAAAATGTCACCACATGTGCCCCTGGCCTTATCCCCAGGTTTCTATAAGTATGGCTCCTTCTTATGAAATGTCACCTCCTCAGTGAGGTCCACCCTGCCCACCCAATTTAAAGTAGCACTCTGCACCCCTCATCCCCAATTTATTATCACAGTATCTGGGTTTTTTAACCTGTTCATAGCACTCATCATTCTGTTATTTTGTTTATTGTCTCTTCCCAAACTCAAATGCAAGTTCTGTGAGAGCAGGGCTTTGTCTGTCTTTATCACAATGTCTCCCCGGATTTAGGACAGTAGCTGGAATATAGAGGGCACATGATAAGATTTTGCTGAATGAATGAATTGTGGTGAGGGAAAGGAAGAAACTAAAAAGTAATTCCTGGATTTCAGGGGCTGATACAAAGACTGTGCATTTAGCCAGGCGACTTAAAAACAAAACAAACAAACAAATAAAAAAACAAACAAACAAAAAAAACCAAGCATTTTTTGCCCTAACATGGTAGAAGCTTGTCACAGGAAAAAAATTATTATATTTGGGGGGACTGCATTTCCCCAAGCTAAATTCCAGAGTGGGGGAAGGAAGGTGTGGAGGCTACGTTACCAATGATCACCAAAATAGAAACAATTACAAACTGAAGGCTAAAGAAATCTCTGACATGCCACTGTGTGCCACCAAAATTATTAGGTAGAGATGGATTGTAAATTAGGAAAAAAAAATTTAATGAGAATTTTTACACTAGAGCAAATCCAGGGATGATAACTGAGTCAATGAAAATGAGCTTAGGACAGAGTCCCTTATGAAAAACAGCTTGATTAATAAGAACCAATTGGAGGTCCAGCATTTCCTCTCATCCTTTTGTCAGGCCATCAGCTTTTGGGTTTTTAATAATGGAAGCTTTCTCCAAGTTGGACTTCTCTGGATCCAACTCAATAATCTCATATTCGTTTGGTAATGAGACATACAGTCAAAAACTCATTGTGTGGGTTAGACATTGTTTGTTTAGCTGCAGGAAGAAAAAAAAGATAGGGCAAGTGGATTCTAAAATATTAATAACTAATTGTTGTGCTCAGTGAGTTTTCTAATCAACAATAAAGTTATCCTGACAAACCGCATGCAAGGAAATGGATTGTTTAAACCGTGCAGCTCTCTCTTTCTGCAAGTCAGTTGGAACACTGCGTGTCATCGAGAATTGTATCAAACTTGAGCAATAATAAGTTCTTCACGATTTTTTAAAAATTCCCTAAAACCAAATGTTGTGCAATAAATGAACTTAATAGAAATAATTTTAAGGGAGGTACACTTCTGCTCCAGTACATTTTAATTTTCAAAAGGGATTTTGGCTCTTATTACACTTATGAGGTACAAAGGCCATGTCACAGATTGTCTCAAAGCACTGATTTTCCCTTGATGTTTTGTCCTGTATTCCCACACAGATACTCCAATCTCACATGCAAATCACATTGCCACATTACTCATGAATGAAAACTAATGAATATACAAAACAGATGTGAATTAAGTTCATCTGCAAAATAAGAGACTAGCAAAAGATCTAAAGGGTGAAAACACTATCATACTAATCTATATATTGTTTTCACCTTCAACATTCATTATTGAACTCGAATAAGCTTCTCTAGTTCAACAGCAGCTCACGAACACATGCCACCTCTGGTAGTGTAGTTACAGCTACCACACTCCAGCAAGTTTTGTATTCAAACACCATTTCTAAAGGACAGGCTGTTTGGGCTACTGGCTGTATGTGGTTCGGGTGCGAAATCAAATGAAGCCTTAATTACTGCCATTTTTATCAGTATCCAATTAGACCTTTTACCCCCCATTAGCAGAGGACTGTGGCTCAACACGGTGGTGGAGAGATTTCCCAAAGCCACAGGGTGTCACATCGATAACTCAACTCGCTGTGAATAATAAGGGAAAGGGCAGAGGTGCTTTCTTCCAGGACCCTAGACCCTCGCTTCCCACCTGGAATCGAGCTGCGTGGGTCGCAGGCTGGAAAGAAAATGTCACAGACACTAATCAATGCTGACACGTGTGGCTGGAGAAGCGAGGCCCAACCCCCGAGCAAGAGGGAAGCGCCAGCAGCCCCGCCCCCGCCAGCGAAGGCCCCGCGGAGAACCAGAAGAGGCGTGGCCTGCAAGTTATGACGTAAGGGCGGGGCCGCTCAGCGACCAGGGCGGGCCTGCAGGCTACCACGTGAGAGCAGGGGCGGGGCCTCGGGCGGAGCTTCCAATGTGGCCACTACGACGACCCAGCAGCCAGGTTCCCGGAGCGAGTCCTCCCTCCTCTCACCTGAGCGAGGTTGGGCTGAGCCCGGACACTCGCGGGCCTCGGTTTCCACACCAGGAACTGTTTTAGCCAGCCCCAGGCTGGCTTTGAAGTCGCAGCTGCTTCCGCTTTCTCTCCCGAGGTTTGTGCGCTTTGGCTCGAAGTGCTGGGTTCGGCCGCCAGCCCGGTCCGTTTTCGTGCCGCCCGGAACTCGGCTAACCGCTGTTCCATGGCGCGCGCCTTGCTCCCCGCGCGCCTGGAGCGCGCCCGGAGCGCGCCCGCCCTCCCGCAGGGCACCTGAGCTCCACTAATCCCGGCGGCAGGCCGCAGTGCGCCTGCGTAGCGGCGGCTCTCTGCTGCGCGTGCGCGCTGGGGCCCGGGATCCCAGCGTGCGCCGTTTGTGACGCTTGGTGGGCTGTCTGTGTGGCTAATAGTCCCCTCCAGACGCGCGTGGACGCAGTGTCCACATCCTCAGGCACAATGGTTAAGAATCTAAAGCATAAAGACTGTTCCATGTTCCTCTCCCTTGCCCCGGGTTCCTCTGAGGGAAGTTCTGTGCCCCACTTCAGTTCAAGGATCTGCTCCCCAACAGGTGGAGCATCCTTTAGCCCATTTGGGCGCGATTGAGAATGTGGTCCCAGCGCATTGAAGAAGGCCCATGAACTCTGGGAGGTTCTGGTGTCCGAAGGAAGACAGGATACAGCCTCCCCTTTTCCTTTTATCACTGCTCACATGGCAGGCTGTACAGACCTCTCATTGCTGTGTCATTCCTGCCACAATGGAAACTACTTGTGGCGTCTCTAGATACGTCCAAAATTTAAAACTTTAAGGGGATGAAGCTTAAAATACACAAATCTTAAGTGTATGGCTCAATAGGTTTGCACCTATATAACCACTACGCAGATAACGTTTCTGTGCTGTGAGAGTTCCCTTTTGCCCTCTCCCAATCACTACTTACCCCAAAGGTCACGATTCAGGTCAGGGACTGTTAGATTTCTTGACGCTCTAAGCGTCTAGCTAAGGACCACTCGCATAATTGAGCCTCAAGTATTTCTTGAATCTTGCTGAGTTCAAGTCAAGAAACTAGACAAATTAGAGTGGAGTCTTTTGTTCATTTAACAAATATCTATCAGGAGCCTGCTGTGTGACAAGCCTTGTACCTGGCACTAGAGATGCTGGAGTAAATGAAATCAACCCCTGTTTTCTTAGCGCTTACATTCTAATTGGAAAGATAGACAAACAAATGCATAATTACATATTTATGTTTAATGTAATGTCAGGTGCTGATTAGTGCTATAAAGAAAAGTAAAATAAGTAATAGGAATGGTGGGGCTATACAGAGCTAATAATGACCAGGGAAGACTTCTGTGAGGAGTTGCCATTTGAGCAGAGATCTAAATGAAATGAGTGACACATGTAGATATATGCAGAACAGTGCTTTAGTCAGAGGAAACAGCAAGCGCAAATATCCTATGAGCTCAAGTGGTATGCTTGCCCTGCTCACAGAACATTAGGGAGGCAGTATAACTGGAGGAAACGGAGGGAGAGAATGATAGAAAATAAAGATGCACAGGGCCAGATCATGAAAGATCTTATAAGCCATGATGAAGATTTTGTATTGCATTCTGAGTGTGATAGTAAGTGACTGGAGGATTTTGAGCAGGAGATGACATGATACGACATATTTTAAAGGATCACACTGGCTGCTGGATGTGGGACCATGGAAGAGTGCAAGAGTAGAAGGAGGGAAACCAGTTAGGAGCAGATACAGTAGTATAAGAGAGACTGGGGGCCAGCTGAGTCGCGCTGGTTAAGAGTTGGTTGGGACGGCAAACTCTGGGCAGCTCTGAGCTGCAGGGCCCCGGTTCAGATCCCACATTAGGGCCAGTGATGCTGCACCCTGTACAGCTAAGATGGTGAAAAACAGCTCGACCTGGAGCTGGGCTGCCTTGAGTCACCTGCGATGGCGAAGGCTGCAGTGGGGCGGCAATGGGCTGCCATGAGCTACTGTGAGTGGCTGGCAGGCAAGCATGAGCAGCCAGCAGCTGCCGTGAGCCGCTGTGAGTGGCCATCCAATGCTGGCGAGCGACTGCCTCACCTGGAAAGAGCGCAATGATAATACCAACATGGGCCAGTGAAGCGACGTTCTCCACAACTAGACTGAAGAACAAAAGGACAGCAACTTGTCCGTTCCCCTTCCCCAATTTTCCCAAAACTGTTCTCCCCCAACTCCCCAATAAAATATTTTTAAAAAAAGAGAGAAACTGGTTGTTGGGGCTAAAGTGGTAGTGATGGAGGTGGTAAGAACTGGTCAATTCTAAATATATTTTGAAGATCTGAGCAACCATGATATGCAGATGGGTTGGATGTGGAGTATGAGAAAAAGGAATCAAGGATGACAGATTTCTGCCACTCCTCCTCCCCCCACCACACACCCTGAGCAACCGTGTGGATGATTCTGGGGCCCTCTACACAAATGGGGGAGACTAGGAAGAAAAGATTATGGAATAGACATGAAGAGGTTTTTTTTTGGACATGCCAAGAGCTTGAGATGCCTATTGGGCATCCAGTGTAGGCAATTGGATAGTAAAATCGAATTCAGGGAAAAGTCAGGACTGAAGATACATATTGAGAGTCAACAGCATGTTTATGATATTTAAAGCTGTGAGACTAGATGAGATAAACTAGAGAGTGAGTGTGGATAAGCAGAAACGATATTTTAGGACTGAACACTGAATAATTAGAAATGGTTTGTAAGGCAGAAACGAATGGGGTCATTATACCACACTGACCTCTCATTGAGAAAGCACAGAGAAAATTTCTTGCTCATCTTGGTGTCAACAGCAGGACTGTTTCTCTCAAGGGACTGGAGATTCTTTTATTGATTGTGTTTCCCACTTGATAATCACAATGAGACCTGACAGCTATATTTATGGTCTATTTCTAGTAGGCAATTTAGACTTAAGGCATGTGATTTGTGGGCTCTTGCATTCAGGGTTCCTGGCAGGAAACATGGCACCTTCAAAAAGGTTACATAAAGAGAGTTTCGTGGAGAGGTTAGTTACAATGGCATGGCAGGATTAAAGAAGCCAGCCAGGGGTGGTTCACAGGAAGTGTCACCAGCCTCTAGGCCTTAAGCAGCAAGAGGACAGAGTGGTCCTCAGAGCCCAGTGAGACCTGGAGCTATAGGAGAAGCTGGAGACAAGGGAGCCCTTAGAAAAGCAGAGAGCAGGGAGAGAGGGTGGGAGGAGAATTGAGAGAAGCAAATGGAGAATATCCAGCCAAGTGCTAATATCTTTCCAACTCCATCTTGCTCTGGTAATCATATTTTCCCTTTGCTTCGTTTTCTGATTTATTGGACATTTATTTTATCTCAGTGCTTTGTAAACCTTTTCGGAAGAGGTTGAAAGAGTGGAAAAAACTAAAGATGAAAGAGATGATTGTGAAGAACAGCTCCTGCCAAACTAACTTCATTTCCTTTTTAGATAAGATTATGAAACTATAGTAAATAAGAAGTCTCAAAATGTACTTATAATGTGTGCATTTAATTTTTATTATGTAATACTTTGTACATACCAAATTATACTTGTATACATATCATATTTGTAAGTCGTAAGTAATAAAATACCTACATGCTCTGTGATGTATTAAGTCTTAATTCTTCACTCCTTGTATTTACCCATGCTATAAAAGACAGAGTATACTTCCCCATTCCTTGACTTTGAACTCAGCCTTGCAAGGTGCTTTGGCCAGTGGGGGATGGCAGACATTATGCAAGCAGGGGCTTGAGGTATGTTTGTCCTGTTGAGTGTGCCTTCTTAATAATCTGCACTGCCATGAGATGAACTTGAAACAGCTAGCCATCTGGTCCAAGAATAATGAGAGTCACGTGGATATAGTCATTCAGCTGACCCACAGACCTACAGTTTAAAGCTGAGCTACCCAGCTGTGCCCAGCCTAAAATAACTGACTCCAGGCTACCCCAAGATGTATGAAAACTAAATGCTTACTTTATGTCACAGAAATTTTGTGGCTGTTTGTTACACAGGAAAAGCTAACCAATACACACCCACTACTCAAGAAAAAGAATGATTTTTTTGTGTGCCTGTGACCCATTTCCTGACTCCTTCCCACCTCTTCAGTCTATTAATACAGCAAGTTACATTAATACATTTTCTGTTAAGCCACCCTACATTCTTGGCAGAAACAAAACTCAGCCACTTTATAAAATCCAAAGCTAGATTCAGCTTGGTAATTTTTTAAGGAATTTGTGCTTCTATGTTCATTAATGAGATTTTCCTATACTTTTCTTCTTTTCATGTATTGTACTTGAAAGGTTTTGGTTTTAGGATTATACTAGCTTTATGAAATAAGCTGAAGTGCCTCCACCTTTTCCCCCCATTTTCTAGAAAAGTTTGAATAAAATAGGAATAAACTATTCCTCGAATATTTGATAGGACTTAGTAAAACCATGTAGGCCTGGTGTTCTCTTAGATCAGATAAATAAATATAAGCTACAATTAAATGGATTCATAGCTGATCAACACAACCTTACCCAAAAAGTGCTAAGAAATAGATCAACAGTCTGTCCCATCTGATGTTTTTAGGAGTGGCCTAGATGAAAATGTAAAAGGCAATTTATCCTATTTTCAGGTGATGAAAATTTGAGAGAATATCTATAATTATGTCTTTAGGGTAAAAAAAATAAATGAATTTGGTTCAATTTATTATTTTTTTTTTTAAAGATTTTTTTTTTTATTGGTGAATTGGGGGGATGGGAACAGTGCTGGGGAATTGGGGGAAGGGGGACAGACAAGTTGCTGTCATTTTGTTCTTCATTCTAGTTGTGGAGGATGTTGCTTCACTGGCCCAAGTTGGCACCATCATTGCGCTCTTCCCGGGTGAGGCAGATCAGTCGCTGGCTTCTGGACGGCTGCTCACTGCGGCTGCTGGCCGCTCACGCTGGCTGCTGGCTACACACGGTAGCCCATGGCAACCCAGTGCCACAGGGACTGCAGCCCACGCCGTCGCGGGCGACTCACAGCAGCCCAGCTCCAGGTTGAGCCGTTGTTCAGCATCTTAGCTGTAGAGGGCAGTGTCACTGGCCCTCATATGTGGGATCCGAACCGGGGCCCTCTGGCATCCCAAGCGAGTTCTTAACCATCGCGCCACTCGGCCGGCCCTGGTTCAATTTATTATGATTAAAGGGTTATGGAAATGCTCAGAGGGAACTCTAGCTTCTAAATTTGCATATATGTTTTTATATCTTTCTTTGTGTTAATTATTGGCTTGAGAGCAGTTTGTTTCAGTAGGACTTGGAGCTTTTCCCTGATCACACACTGGACAGGAGGGGTGTATGTGGTGGA